ACGGGCTTCAGTTGTGACGGTCAGGACATAAATCTAACTGCGAATGAATTGGAGTGTGAATGAGCCTCAGTAGTACGAGCGCGTCTTTGTGCATGCGCCTCGGGCCTCCTGGGGCCTCCTGAAACCTACTGGGGCTTCCTGGGGTCTCCAGGAGCCTCTTGGGGCCTCCTGGGACCTCCTAGGGAGGTTTCGTGCCCCAGGAGAGGCGCAATATATAGCAACAGACGTACATCAACCATTGCGGATTCGTGCCACAGGAGAAGGGCAATCTATAGGAACACGCGTCAAACACAAAGGACTCGTGCCCCAGGAGAGGCCCAATATATATATATATATATATGTATATATATATAGGAACATTAGTAAAATATGCAGGATTGTGTACACAGGAGAAGGACAATCTATAGAAACAGACGTAAAACATCGAAAGACTCGTGCTCCAGGTGAGGCCCAATCGATAGGAGCATACGTAAAACACATGGGATTGGAGCCACTCCTGTTGCCTTCTGAAGCCTCCTGCTCCTGGGGCCTCTCGGGGCCTCCTGTTGCCTTCCGAGGCCTCCTGGCGCTTCCTGTAGCCTCGTGGGGCCTCCTGTGGTTTCCTGAGGCCGTCCGGAGCTTCCTGGGGCCTCCTGGAGCCTCTTGGGACATCCTGTGGCCTCTTGAGTCTTTCTGTGGCCTCCTGATGCCTCCTGGGACCTCATGATGTCTCCTGGGGCCTCCTGGAGCCTGTTGGAGCCTCCTGTGTCATCCAGAGAAGAATATGCGCCCACGAGCCTGGCCACCAAAACAAGCAAACCGATCGAGACTATCCTCAAAATATGCCCACCTGGGGGGTGAAAAATGAGCGCCTCCGCTCGAGACATCCTCCAAAAATCTGCTCCGAAAGCCGAAGGAAGCTGGCACAGAAAACAACAGGCAAAACCGCGTCGAACATCCCCACAAAACAAAATTCCGACGAACGGGACCCCCCCCGTGAATACAACCCCAAAACCGCCGCCCCCCCTTAGAGTGCTTAGACGAGCGAATCGCCTGAGACATTCCTCCAAATCTGCTCCGAAAACGAAACGTGTTGGATCAGAAAATGGCCAAACCGCCTGAGACATCCCCACAAAATTCCGCGAACGGGACCCCGTGAAATACCCCCCCGCCGCCCCCTTTAGATTGCTGAGACGAGCGAATCGCCTGAGTCTGAGTGATGACTGAGTCTGAGTGATAGAGAGCAATTAATGAGTCTGAGTGAATGATGATGTGTGAGTGGTAGTCTATTGATGAGTGTGGGTGTGGTGTCCTGTCCTGTCCCTTCCGGCGCGGTCCCGCCGATAATCTTTGGATATGGAGGAACAAGCAGCCCCATCTATTGATATGGGAAAAAGATTGCATCTAGTCGCATGACCTGCCGCCGAATGTCTAGGCGCAAGAGCTTTCGAATATTCACGGGCTTCAGTTGTGACGGTCTGGACATCAATCTAACTGCGAATGAATTGGAGTGTGAATGAGCCTCAGTAGTACAAGCGCGTCTCTGTGCATGAGCCTGGGGCCTCCTGGGGCCTCCTGAAACCTACTGGGGCTTCCTGGGGTCTCCAGGAGCCTCTTGGGGCCTCCTGGGACCTCATAGGGAGGTTTCGTGCCCCAGGAGAGGCGCAATATATAGCAACAGACGTACATAAACCATTGCGGATTCGTGCCACAGGAGAAGGGCAATCTATAGGAACACGCGTCAAACACAAAGGACTCGTGCCCCAGGAGAGGCCCAATGTATATATATATATATATATAGTAACATTAGTAAAATATGTAGGATTGTGTACACAGGAGAAGGACAATCTATAGAAACATACGTAAAACATCAAAAGACTCGTGCTCCAGGTGAGGCCCAATCGATAGGAGCATACGTAAAACACATGGGATTGGAGCCACTCCTGTTTCCTTCTGAAGCCTCCTGCTCCTGGGGCCTCTCGGGGCCTCCTGTTGCCTTCCGAGGCCTCCTGGCGCTTCCTGTTGCCTCGTGGGGCCTCCTGTGGTTTCCTGAGGCCGTCCGGAGCTTCCTGGGGCCTCCTGGAGCCTCTTTGGACATCCTGTGGCCTCTTGAGTCTTTCTGTGGCCTCCTGATGCCTCCTGGGACCTCATGATGTCTCCTGGGGCCTCCTGGAGCCTGTTGGAGCCTCCTGTGGCATCCAGAGAAGAATATGCGCCCACGAGCCTGGCCACCAAAACAAGCAAACCGATCGAGACATCCTCAAAATCTCTCCGAAAGCGAAGGATGCTGGCACAGAAAACAGGCAAACCGCTCGAGACATCCCCACACAATTCCGCGAACGGGACCCCGTGAAATACCCCCCCGCCGCCCCCCTTAGAGTGCTGAGACGAGCGAATCGCCTGAGACATCCTCCAAATCTGCTCCGAAAACGAAACATGTTGGATCAGAAAATGGCCAAAACGCCTGAGACATCCCCACAAAATTCCGCGAACGGGACCCCGTGAAATACCCCCCCGCCGCCCCCCTTAGATTGCTGAGACGAGCGAATCGCCTGAGTCTGAGTGATGATTGAGTCTGAGTGATGAGAGAGCATGAGTGAGTCTGAGTGATGAGTGAATCTGAGTGGTGAGTCTGAGTGATGAGTGGTGGGTGTGGTGTTCTGTCCTGTGTCCTTCCGGCGCGGTCCGCCAATAACAAGAACCCCATCTTTGGATATGGGGAATAAATCTTTGGATATGGGGAATAAGAACCCCATCTTTGGATATGGGGAACAAGAAGTGCATCTATTCGCATGGACCTGTCCGCCGTGAATGTTTAGGCGCAAGAGCTTTCGAATATACACGGGCTTCAGTTGTGACGGTCAGGACATAAATCTAACTGCGAATGAATTGGAGTGTGAATGAGCCTCAGTAGTACAAGCGCGTCTTTGTGCATGAGCCTCGGGCCTCCTGGGGCCTCCTGAAACCTACTGGGGCTTCCTGGGGTCTCCAGGAGCCTCTTGGGGCCTCCTGGGACCTCCTAGGGAGGTTTCGTGTCCCAGGAGAGGCGCAATATATAGCAACAGACGTACATAAACCATTGCGGATTCGTGCCACAGGAGAAGGGCAATATATAGGAACACGCGTCAAACACAAAGGACTCGTGCCCCAGGAGAGGCCCAATATATATATATATATATATATATATAGGAACATTAGTAAAATATGTAGGATTGTGTACACAGGAGAAGGACAATCTATAGAAACATACGTAAAACATCAAAAGACTCGTGCTCCAGGTGAGGCCCAATCGATAGGAGCATACGTAAAACACATGGGATTGGAGCCACTCCTGTTGCCTTCTGAAGCCTCCTGCTCCTGGGGCCTCTCGGGGCCTCCTGTTGCCTTCCGAGGCCTCCTGGCGCTTCCTGTTGCCTCGTGGGGCCTCCTGTGGTTTCCTGAGGCCGTCCGGAGCTTCCTGGGGCCTCCTGGAGCCTCTTGGGACATCCTGTGGCCTCTTGAGTCTTTCTGTGGCCTCCTGATGCCTCCTGGGACCTCATGTGGTCTCCTGGGGCCTCCTGGAGCCTGTTGGAGCCTCCTGTGGCATCCTGAGAAGAATATGCGCCCACGAGCCTGGCCACCAAAACAAGCAAACCGATCGAGACATCCTCAAAATCTGGCCCACCTGGGGGGTGAAAATGAGCGCCTCGCTCGAGACATCCTCCAAATCTGCTCCGAAAGCGAAGGATGTTGGCACAGAAAACAGGCAAACCGCCTGAGACATCCCCACAAAATTCCGCGAACGGGACCCCGTGAAATACCCCCCCGCCGCCCCCCTTAGAGTGCTGAGACGAGCGAATCGCCTGAGACATCCTCCAAATCTGCTCCGAAAACGAAACATGTTGGATCAGAAAATGGCCAAACCGCCTGAGACATCCCCACAAAATTCCGCGAACGGGACCCCGTGAAATACCCCCCCGCCGCCCCCCTTAGATTGCTGAGACGAGCGAATCGCCTGAGTCTGAGTGATGACTGAGTCTGAGTGATGAGAGAGCATGAGTGAGTCTGAGTGATGAGTGAATCTGAGTGGTGAGTCTGAGTGATGAGTGGTGGGTGTGGTGTTCTGTCCTGTGTCCTTCCGGCGCGGTCCGCCAATAACAAGAACCCCATCTTTGGATATGGGGAATAACAAGAACCCCATACTTAGGATATGGGGAAAAATCCGCGAAAGGGGCCGAGGGAAATACCCCCCCGCCGCCCCCCTTAAGTGCTGAAACCAGCGAATCGCCTGAGACATCCTCGCAAACTGCTCCGAAAGCGAAACATGTTGGAAGAGAAAATGTGATGACTGAGTCTGAGTGGGTCTGAGTGAGAGGAGGTGAGGTGGTGTTCTGTTCTTTCTCTGTTCCTCCGGCGCGGTCCGCCAATAACAAGAACCCCATCTCTTTGGATCCCCATATGTGCATCTCATTCTCTTGGTACGTCATCGAGTCGGATAGAAAACTCGAAGGAGGAGGAGGAGGAGGAGGAAGAAGAGGAGGACGACGAGGAGAAGGACGACGAGGAGAACGAGGACGACGACGACGAGGAGAACGAGGAGGAGGACGGGGAGGAGAACGAGGAGGACGACAAGGAGAACGAGGACGACGACGACGACGACGAGGACGAGGAGGGAGAGGGCGGCCGGAGGCAGCTTCTGTGCCCCCCGGGGCCCCTCGGAGCCGCTGCGTGCATCTCGGCCGACCGGCGCGGCGACGCCATCAAACCGCCAGGCCGCTGGACTTCGTCGTCGTCGTCGTCGTCGTCGTCGTCCGTCGTCCGTCGTCCGTCGTCCGTCGTCGTCGTCGTCGTCGTCGTCGTCATCGTCGTCGTCGTCGTCGTCGTCGTCGTCGTCGTCGTCGTCGGTCGTCCGTCGTCCGTCGTCCGTCGTCCGTCGTCCGTCGTCCGTCGTCCGTCGTCCGTCGTCCGTCGCCCGTCGTCGTCGACGTCGTCGTCGTCGCCCGTCGTCCGTCGATGTTGTCGTCGTCGTCGAGGAGTGAGACGAAGAGGAACGAGAGGAGAAAGAGGAAGAGCCAGACCGCTTTCGCCAGTGCGCAGCGTACAGCGAAGGGTTAAAAGCGAAACGAATTCAACTATTTAAAATCTGCGTTTAAACAGTCGATCCTCTCAGTGAGGCCGCCCTTTGCGGATCCGACTGAACACACAGGTTAAATTAGGCATGCAAACAACTGCTCAATGTATATCCCAGCTGATCCTCTCAGTGAGGCCGGACTATGCGCCTCCAGCTGGCTTAAACACAAAAGTTGAACAGATGTTTAGCTGCACGCTGCCAAGCTGCTGGGAGGATGTGGAGAGGAGAGAAAACAGGTTACCTCGCATGCGACATCACCTACCGTTTAGCGCCTGACCCGCGAGCGCGAACATCTTGTCTACCTGTCTAGCGGCGGTCGCGGTCGCGTGAGCGCACTTCCAAGGCTTTCGCAGATCCGCCGACCCCTCGTGGGTCTCTGGGCGCGCGAGATTCCCCTCCAAAAATTCTTTCTCCCCCACCCCCCAGGGGCCCCAAAACTGGGAATTTGACCCCCACCCCAGGCCTGGGCGGATTAAGAATCCCCCGACGACCCAAGAGGGCCCCAAGACGCACCCAAGACGGTTCAAGAAGGCCCCGAGTCTCTGAAAGATCGCTCCAAGACGCCCAAAATAGCCCCAAGACGGCTGAAGAGCCCTCCAAGAGCACTTCCAAGAGGCCAAATCATAAATGTTCTGAAAAAATCTGAGGAATTTGGTATTCTCGCCTTTTCGGCCTTCCGCCGCTCCATGACGTCCCTAGAAGCCTCCAAGACCACTCCAAGACGGCCCAAGAAGCCTCCAAGAGGGCCCCAAGACGGCCCCACAGGGCGCCCAAGACGGCCCAAGAGGCGCCCAAGACGGCCCACGAGGGCCCCCAGACAGCCTCAAGAGGGGCCCAAGAAGGGGAACGCGAACCGAAAATCCGAGCCTCCGGCCCCAAGAAGCCCCGAAGAGGAGGCCCCCCAAGAGGCCTCAAGAGGCTCCCCAGATGCCTAAACGAGGCCCCAAAACGATCCCCAGAGGCTTCAAAACTGCCTCTAGGAGGCTCCCGAGAGGCTTCCCACGAGACCCCAACGAACATCCAAGAGGCCTATGACCCACAACCCAGGCACGGCGGCGGGATGGGCCGAAGGCCACTACGTAGATATAGGGGTCGGCGGATGTGGCGCAAGCCTGTAGAATCCACGTCCGGAAGTGACGTGTTGCCGGAGGCAGGTCCGCGGATGCTGTAATGCAATGGATCCAATGTGTCCAATGCTTGCATAATTCCTACATATTGTATCATGTTACATTATTATGTGTCCCCCCCTACCCCCCCCTGGAGTCGCGCCACTTCCATCGACCCTCAGGAGGAGGGCCCCTTCTGGGCCTCAAAATCTAGAAAAACCTATGGAAAACCGATGATTTGGGCACCTTGAGCCTTTTGGGGATCCAAGAGGGCGTGAAGACGGTTCAAGATGGTGTCAAGACGGGACAAGACGGCCCCAAGACGGCCCAAGATGGCCCCAATAGGGCCCACAAAGCCCCCAAGATTGCCCAAGAGGGCCCTCAGAGCGCCCACCAGAACGCCGCCAGAGGCCAAAAACATCGATTGCCTTAAGTTTTTTCAAAGAATGTCGCGTTCTCGCCATTCCCGGCTCTCAGAGGCCCATGACGGCCCTAGCAGCCTCCAAAATGGCCCCAAGACAGCCCAAGCAGCACCCAAGGGGGCCCCAAGACGGCCCAAAGAGGCCCCCAAGACGATCCAAGAGGCCTCCAAGACGGCCCAAGAGCACCCCAAGATGGCCCAAGACGACCCCAAGAGGGCCCCAAGGCGGCCGCGAGCGGCCCCCAAGAAGTCCCCCGAAGGGGCCAAACGGCTCCAAGCGTCCGCAGACGGCCCAAGACGCCCCCAAGAGGCCCCCCGAAAGACCCGGGAAGCCCCGAAGAAGCCCAAGGGGCCCCCCAAAAACCCGAAGAGGCCTCCAAGATGTCCTCAAGAAGCCTCCCAAAAGGCTCCAAAGAAACCCCCCAAAGGCCACACAGCGACTGGAGTGTAATGTCATTTTTCCACCCTGCGCGAACTGCGGCGCAGCGCCAGCCAGGTGGAAGTTGGTCACAGCGGCGCCCATGATTAGAGCCGGCGCTGGAAAGAAATACGGGGAGGGAGTATGAAAAGGAGTGAGGGGGGAGAGGCCCCAAAAAAGTCCCCAAGAGGCCCAAGGAAGCTCCCAGGAGGCCTCCAGGAGGCCCCCAAGAGGCCCCCAAGAGGCTCCGCGACGACGTGATTGTATGTGCTCCGGACGTGCACCCCGCGAAGCGAGAGGAATCAATCGCGGGCAGCACGATCTGCTGGACGATCGCCGTCTTGCCGGAGCCGCCCTGGCCCATCAGGAGTATCTGGAAGGTCTGCCGTTGTGCCCATGGTTTGTCTTCTTTCTCGTCAGCCCATACGGTATTGCAGGCCTCCGCGAACTTCGCCAGGAACAACGTCTGGTCCCGCTTCAGCGTGCGCGGAACTCGCTTCCCGGCGGTCGGGTCGACGGGGCCCCGCTCGAACTTCTCCGCGAGATGTGCCACGTAATCGCTCGGGCGGCGCCAGGTGTCATTGAGCGCGAAGTACGCCTTCGGCTCGGGGCGGCGCCGCGGAGGCCGGCTGTTAGAGTGTTCTGCATGCGGGTCCGAAGGACGACCGCTGTCATCTGACGCAGGGGGCACGGGGCCGTCCTGTGCCGACGACTCCCCCTCATCTTTCTTGGAGCTCCAGGACTTCCTCTGGGCGTCCACCAGCTGTTTCAGCACGGCTGGTTCCAGGTGCGCCAGCATGTCGTAGCGCAGCAGGATGTCGTCCTTCACGCGGGTCGCGCGCTGATCGGCACCGTCCTCGCGGTTCCGTGGCGCGGGCAGACCGCCGTCGTCCAGGGTCATCACGGACGTGCTCATGAGCTCCTTCACGAACCTTTGGGTCCGGTCTGCAGTGTCGAAGCGGAGGATCTTGTTCAGCCGCTCAATATCGAAATGATGGGTAATGGTCGTGCCCTCGAAAGTGGCGACAGTTTCACAGATCGCAGCCCCCCAAGGATGGCGAGGTCTAATCTGAGTCCCCGTAGGGCGTCACTCCGCTGGCCCCCCCAGCAGCCCTCGAAAGTGGCGACAGTTTCACAGATCGCAGCCCCCCAGGGATGGCGAGGTCTAATCTGAGTCCCCGTAGGGCGTCACTCCGCTGGGCCCCCCAGCAGCCCTCGAAAGTGGCGACAGTTTCACAGATCGCAGCCCCTCCCGCAAAAGAAGAGAGGAGGAGGCGGGAGGAGGCGGGAGGAGGCGGGAGGAGGAGGAAGGTGGAGACCACACCACAGTGCTCTATTCAAAACGAGTACCCAACGCAGGAGGGTTGGGGAAAAAGGAGGGGAGGGGTGGTCCGGCGCGGTCGGAAAATAACAAGAACCCCGTCCTTTGGATATGGGGAATAACGTTTCATAGCATAACATAGCATATCAAGACATGCCATAGCGTAGTGCATCACAACGTAGCATAACATAGCATACCATAACATAGCATGTCCTACCATACCATACTATACCATACCATACCATACCATATCATACCATCAGGGCACAACATAATATAAAGTACCATAACATACCAAATCATCAAATAGCATAATCTAGCGTAACATAGCATACCGCAATATAGCATAACATGAGAAGGAAGAGGAGGAGGGAGGGGTGAGGCCTCGGCGCGGTCGGAGTAATACCAAGAACCACATCGAACCAAAGACCCCATCCTTTGGATATGAGGAAACAGACCGCAACTAGCTAGGGCGTGCAACATGCAACGAGCTAGGGCAGGGCATGCACTGCACCAAGCTGGGGCGCGCATAGGAAGGGACGGAGGCGAAGGCGGAGGCGGAGGCGGAGGGAGGTGCCACTACGGCCCTAGGCTCTCAGCACGGGTATTGATTTGAAAAGTGACGGCAGACGCGCTGCCAGGTCAAGAACTCCTGGCCACCAAGAGGACATCCGATCTGAGGGCTCGGCGTCCGCAGATCCTGCGAAGCGTTTCCTATCCCGAACGAGTGTTTTTTTCATGGCGCTCGGATATCCGAGCCACTCCCGCGCATCGAACAAATCTGAATGGCATGCTGAAAGTTAGGAGATTCAGAAAGGATTGCCTGGGTCGGCGATGGACCCCTTCCCCGAGCCCCCTGGCGGTGCCCAGCGCGCTCCGCGCGCGCGGGGCGGGGGGCCGAGTCCGGTCGGGGAGGTCTGGCGCCGACCCAGGAAACCCGCGCGGGCCTCTCAAGACGTATGTCTGTGCGACTGTTTTGATGCTCTGCCCCAGGGTCCCGGATCTGGACACGCAGGAGGCACCTACGGTGCACCACCGCCATGCCCCGCCAGGGCAATTCTGGATCCTGGCATGGACCGTGTCAGAGATGCAGGAAGGGGTCTCGCTGCGATTGTTTGGAGATTCTGGCCCGAGATCCCAGATCCGGATACTCAGAAGGCACCTGCTGTGCACCACCACCATGCCCCGCCAGAGCAATTCTGGACCCTGGCATGGTGTGTACTGGAGGCCTTCCAGATGGGGTCTGAGCAGGTGGGGTCGGAGGATCGCACCGCATCGCGGATGCATTAGCGATGCATCGCCTATGCATCGACAATGCGTCGGCGAAGTCGGCGATGCATCGGCGCCATCGGCGTGGAGAAAATCGGCTTCTACATCGAGCCGCACCGGCGATGCATCGGCAATACGGCACGATCATCCGACCCATCTGCTCCGACCCCATCTGGGAGGCCTAGATCGGAGGTTGGGGGGTGAGATCGCAGTGGAACAGAGAGCCCCCTACTGGGAAATCGGCTTCGGTTTCGTGTTCGTGTCGTGCGTGCGGGCGAGGCAAAGCTGCGTGGGCGCGCGAAAAAAAAATGCTCCCGCCCTCGGGGCGATTCAAATGCAAAAGTCAGGCCCTCTGGTGGGCGCGCGGTGGCTGGGGATGTCCCGATGGTGTCCCGCGGTTTCTCGCCGTGGGCGCGCAAGAGGAATGAACCCGCCGTCGCCAGGGCGATTCGGACGCGAAAGTCGGACCCTCTAGTGGGCGTGCGGTGGCTGGGGGTGTCCCGATGGTGTCCCGCGGTTTCTCGCCGTGGGCGCGCAAGAAGAATGCTCCCGCCGTCGGTAGGGCGATTCGGATGCAAAAGTCCAGCCCTCCGGTGGGCGCGCGGTGGCTGGGGGTGTCGCGCCGTGGTGTCCCGCGTGATCCCGATGGTGTCCCGCGATGTCCCGCCGTGATGTCCCGATGGTGTCTCGTGGTGTCCCGTGGTATCCCGTGGTGTCCCGCGGTGTCCCAGTGGTGTCCCGCGGTGACCCGTGGTGTCCAGTGCTGTCCCGCGGTGTCCCGCGGTGTCCCGCCGTGGTGTCCCGCCGTGGTGTCCCGCCGTGGTGTCCCGATCGATAGTGAGATCGATAGTGAGATCGATAACGACCGAGATGTGGTGAGATCGGTAGTGAGATCGATAGTTTGATCGATAATAAGGTCGATAGTGAGATGAGTAACTTCATCGATCGTGCGAGCGGCAGTGAGATCGATAATGAGATCAATAGTTGCATCGATAGTGCAATCGATAGTGAGGTCGATAGTGCGATCGATTACGAGATCGACAGTGAGATCGATACTGGGGTCGATTGTGAGCTCGACCGAGTGAGATCAATACCGGGGTCGATAGCGGCATCACATCGCAGCGCAACATCGTCATCACGCGTCGTCGCCAACTCGGGGGCGCGCCACAGGCGTCGTCATCATCACACCCGTCACAGTTGCCAGCAGGTGGTTCTGTCCTCTCCCCACAACCTCCTTATCACCCGAAGGGTGATCGTATAGGTATACGCCCTCCTGGCTTCCGCCAGGAAGGTCTACACAATCCTGGGGGCCAAGATGGCCCTGGCCAGAGATGGTGGTAGTAGTTGAATTGCTGCCTTCCGTCGAGGTCCCCGAAGTTCTCCGGGGGTGTCTGGAGGTCCTCTGGAGGTCTCCGGAGACCTCCGGAGGTCTCCGAACTTCCTGGGGGCCTCAGCAGGCTTCGTGGGGGCCTCGGAGTCCGAAGGCCTCAGGAGGCTTCCGAAGGCCCTTGGAGTGCCCTCGAAGGCCCCGGCCTTCGGAGGCCCGGAGGCCCTCGGAGGCTTCTGGAGGCCCTTCGGAGGCCCTCGAAGGTCCTGCAGGGCCTTCTGCGGGCTGGTAGCGCGGAGCCCTCGGATCGGACGCCGCGTCGAGGAAAAGATCAAGAACTGGGGTCGCGACCCCGTATGGCTGAAACTATTCGAGCACATCCCAGACCTCCGGCGCCACGGGAAGATCACGCCGGGCCCCACAGTAAGATCGCCGTCGTCAGCGGGCCGCTTCTGGAGGAAGAAGAGAAGAAGAAGAAGAAGAACAAGAAGAAGAAGAAGAAGGAGGAGAAGAAGAAGACGAAGAAGAAGAAGAAGAAGGAAAGAAAGAAAAACATAAACATGTATTTTCGACGGTCTGCGCGGAGCTTTTGGATCTGCGCCAGGGGCGGCGCCGGAGGCGACGCCAGGGGGCCCCAGCGCAGATCCAAGAAGTGCCAGTGGACCGTCGAAAGCCTATGTTTATGACGTGTTTCGAGTTCGAGCTTCTGGGTCCTGGGAGAAACGAGGCCAGCAGAACGCGACGAAACAGCTCTCGGGGGGGCCACGCCGTGACCACAACGCCGCGTCGGAGGTCGGGGAATCCACGCCGCCGTGAAAAGTCACGGCGCCGGAGCACATCTGCCGTCCCCCCTCCGGGGGCGCCGGGCGCCTGGACTGCTGGAGGCCCCCAAAATTCTGTCGACGTAGCACAGAGGTGGCCTTTAGAGGCACTAGGATGCCGCAAAGTGGCCTCGAGATGGCCCACCAGGGCCCCAAGAAGTGCCGAAGGTGGCCCCAAGATTGCCTCGGCCTGGCTCTGCCTGGGGGGCCTACGGCAGAAGGCGCAGTCATTGAGATACAGACTATCAGGCTCACTCCGTCTTGTCTGGGTCGACGCTGCCTGCCGCTCAATATCCTGGAACTTCTTCTTCCTCCACACGCAGCTCTGCCACATAGACGTGCGACGAGGCCAGTTGGCCTGCAACCCACCACGCGTGCGAATGCCCAGCTGCTGAGTAGTTCGCGACGTACCAACTGTCCTTGGTATGGGGGCGTGGCACGACGGAGAAGAAACCCGTGTCAGCCACAGCGAGGCCATGCTCGAAGAACCGGACAAGCTCTATTGGCTTGCACGTGTGCCAAGGCCCACTCGTCCCTGCCCAGCTTTCGGCTGGTGCCAAGCGAAACACCGCCGCAGTCTTTGGCCGTACAGAGTAGAGGACAATGTTCACCGCTTCCTGTACCTTTAGCGGCAACCAGCTAGGCGCAGCAGCATACTTTTGGTACGTGTACCGGGCTAGCAGAAGCACATCTCCTGTGGCATCCACACGGCAGAACCTGGGTGAGTCGAACCTCCAAGGCAAGGACTGCGCAAGAGCCTGCCACTGGCCCAGATCACCAGAAGACGCGAAAAAAAGCTGGCTTCCAAAGCCACTCGAGTCGCCATCTTCGTTGCGGCCTATGGCTACGAGGTCACCCCTCTGCGTGAACTCAAATGCCACCTCACTTATGCCACCACGATACACCACGCCATCCTTGCTTGAGCCGCAAGGCGTCCAATCAAGACCATTGCGAGACTGCTCGAAGAGAACTTCCATGTTTGCACCGCCAGCCTGGTAGTGTCCTCCCATGTAAGACGTCTTGTACACGACAGGCTCGCCATCATCTTGAGGAACAACCTTCACGTCCCAAATCAACTCGCCGGGACGACTGACAAGACCATTTCCACGTCCTTCGGGTGAGCTCCATGTCACACCGTCTTGGGAAAGGAAGCACCGAGTCCCTTTCACATTGAATGTACCGAGAAATCCACTGTCGATGCTGCAATAATACAAGAACAGGGTGCCGTGCAGCTCGAACAATAGCATCTCTCGCAAATCTTCTCCGGTTTTGTGCTTCCAAACAAGCTTCCATGGACCGGCTGGATGTGACGCCGTAGCCACTAGTAAAGAAGCATGCTTACTGGGCCAATGCCAGTCAGCATTCCTGGGGATCACAAAAACATACGGATGCCGTTATTCTAGGGGCCTCTCCAGGGGTCTGTTCTGACCAGGATTCCAAAGCGAATCCTGCCGTTACGAGAAGGCCCCCCAAGAGGCCCAAACAAGTCTAAAAGGAGGGAAGAGCATCGGCACAATGATACACGCTCCGAGTTCCTGTAAGCTGCAAAATACTTTCCTTTAAAGACAGTGATGGAGACGTTGTTGTTAGAGCGCAGTGTCGAATCAGGCTGGGACACTCGCCAAGAGCGCCCAAGTAGCACATTCAACCTTGACGAGGAATCTGCATGGTGAGACCCATCAGGCGCTGCAAACGTCCAAATAGTATAAATGATCGTGGCGTAGAGGAGTAAGCAAAGCGCAAACGTGCCATACATCCAAGCCACCAAGCAGACCAATCCAGCCCATAACTTTGCATGCGGCAACTTGAAATGGAAAACTGCGAGTTGCATCCAGAAGTTGGCATAATACGCGTTGAAGTCCGAAACTAGCTCCTCGTTTTCCTGCGGGCGGGTCGGCATCGCACTATCACAGGAGTGCCAGTGTATGACGCTGAACTCGAAAAAACTCTTGGCCCAGATGCCTTGAGCCAGGATGCCCGATGTAACCCGGGAGCAAGACTGCACAGGGGCCAGAGTGCCATCTGCAGTCGCACTGCTACTGGGAAACGTGGGCGCGCTGGAGCTCCCACGGCGAGACGCGGGTTGCCACGTGGCCGACTCCGGGACCGTTGCGCATGTCGACGTCGCGGCCCTGACCTTCCAGAGAGCTATTTTTTTAGCACTGGAGACCTAAAAACCTAAAAACCGAAACGAAGCAGCCTAAAACCAAGACGCAGAATAGCTCTGGGATAGGTTTTTACGTCGCGGGCTACTTTTAAGCCCTCCTGGAAGGCCAGGGGGGACGACAAACCGGCCCCGGGGGCGTGGGCTCCTACCCCTGCGGTCGGCGGCACGCAGCAGTCCTGACATCGGAGGCCTGGGCAGGCAGGCAGGCTCGGCCCGAGCGCGGCCCCCCCCGCGGACGGCACCCGCCTTGCAGCGGGCGCGGGCGCACGGGGGGGGGGGGGCACCGGGGAAGCACAGAGGGGGCACGCGGAGCGGCCCAGGGCGGCGCAGGTGCCTGGCGGCGCGCACCGGGAGATGGCGCGAATGGGGGCGGCCTTCTCGAGGAGGCGGGCAGGCTTCGCAGGAAGCACGGGGCGTCCTCGGGGGGCCCTCCCGGCTTCTGAGGAGCCTGCTTGGCGGCAGCCCCCAGACCGCTTCCGAGGACGCCGCGGCCTGCGAAGAGGCCGCCTCCTCCCTGCCTGCTTAGAAGGCCGCCAAAAGTGGGGAGACGGGGAAGTGCAACAGACCAAGGAGGAGGAGGAGGAGGACGAGGAGGAGGAGGAGGAGGAGGAGGAGGAGGAGGACGACGACGAGGAGGACGACGAGGAGGAGGAGGAGGAGGGGGAGGAGGGGAAAGGAAGCAGCAGGTGAAAGAGGACAAGAAGAATGACGCCTCAGGCCCTCTGGAGCGCCTCCAGTTTGCCCCAGGAGAGAAAAAGTTTAAACCAACATCTAGAAATTGAAAACTATATATATATATATATATATATATATATATATATATATATATACGTAACAGAAAAGAAAACAAAAAAGAAAACCAAAAAAAGAAACAACACAAAAAAACAATCAACAAAAAAAACGCCAAGAGGCGAACGTGAGCTGGAGAGGCCAGCGCTCAACACTGGAAGACGCCCTCCCGGGGGGCGGGCAGGCGGCCATGCTCGGAAGCTGGGCGAGGGCTGGCAAATTCGTGGCTGCTAAAACGGTTTTCCCCGAAGGAGAAAAAAACAACAAAAAAC